CCCCAAAACCCCAAAACCCCAAAACCCCTAATTTAAACGTTAATTTCAGAGATTTAAATCATAAAATATTGCAATTAAACCCATTATTTACATAAGTCTCATAAATGAATACTCCAATTACAGTTTATCAATCAGATTACGCGAATCTAAATGAAGATAAAGTGCTTGAGCCTTTTAAGCAAAAAGAGAACTTTATTCTTTACATGTAGGAACTTCGCAAGTTGTTCCAAGCCAGATCTAAATCTCTCAAGAATACTATCCATGTACTCAAGTAATCATTTGAGGAGGACAATTTTATATCATTAATCAAGGATGATAAACAGTGCTAAGATTACTTGTTAAAGCGCATTGATGAGATTTGCATAAGTCAATACGATAAAGAGAGAGAGCTCTATATCTAAAAACTTATTCAAAAGATCTCATCTTATTAAACTGATAAGATCAAATTACAAGAGGATTTGGTTTTGCTGAATTTAGAATTGAATCAAGGTAGGTAAAAGTAAAAAAGATAGCATTCACGCGAAAAATCTTAAAACAGTAGAACATAGGCTTTGAAAGATTTTAATGCAATTCTTAAGGAGAACACTTTGAACAACATAGAAGAGTAAAATAAATAATCTAGTCGGAGATGTATGGATAAAAAGGTCAATGACTTGTATGAAGAGTTGAAATTCTTGCAAAATAAAAATGATGCACTGATTATGAATCTCCATGAAAAGGATGAGAAATTTAAAGTAAAAGAAAAAAAACTTTAAGAATTAGAACTTGAACTCCAAAAATATAGCTAAATTTCTAAGGACTTAGTGAAAGAAAAACAGAAAATCTAGGATCACTATATGCAATAAATACTTGTAAATATTGAAGAGATAAAATTGTAATATTTAGGATTTGAAGAGCCATATTACAGAATCAGATAGTAGGCTACATAAAGAAAGAGAGAGGAAAGAAAAGCTGAAGGGGGAGCTAAAAGATATGAATAATCATTACATGAAGATAATGTATGACAAGATTCAGGAAATATCAATGCTTAAGGAATAAGAATACAGAAGTAAAAGAGTAAGCATTACGAATAACTGATTTTAATATATAGAAAAATTTGAAGGTCAAATTTAGTAATAACATCCTGAAATTATAGAAGACTTTTGAATAAAAATTGCAAGAAAAAATAGTTGAGATTGAGAAGGGATGTGGAAAAACATCTAACAGAAGTATAAGCCAAAAATATAATTCGAGGAATGAATTTTCGAGCCACAGTAGAAATAAAACAATGACTAACGTAAAAAGTATTAATAATGGTCAAGATGATTTCATGAGTACCATTTAAATGGGTTTAACTGATTAATTTGCTTCATTCGAATCAGCCTCTAGAAATGGAACAACATAAAGAAAGAAAAAATGCCTAAATAAAAGTAACTCTGTCAGCTCTAACGGTGGAACAAATTCGGTAAATTTAGGTTCCACCATTAAATCCAGCGGGTCTTTTATTAACACCAAAGATTCTAGAACTTATTAAAATGAGAGAAACTCTCAGAATATGGCTCTGCATTCTCAAACTCAGAGTTTTTCTTATGTAGATCAACCAAAAATTTTAAATAGCTATAGATAAAACTTATGAAAGGATATTTAATTATTTAACTCTTAATTTAATAAATTTTAATTTTAAAACTAATTGCCATAAGGTAATGGAAGATATTCAAGCTTCATCTATAAATAACGAAGAAAATAAACAGCTAGGATAAAACTAGAATGCTTTACCTATAAGCTCACAGTAAAATCCATAGGATCCATTCGATAGACAAAGAAGAATTCAGAATTGGAACTAAACGAAAGTAGAAGAGTAGGTTTGCTTGCTTCTTGGTAGTGGTGGACTAGGATGCTCAGTTGCAATGGGATTAGCTAGACTTGGAGTAGCAAAGTTGATTATGATTGATAAAGATGTAGTTGATGTTTCAAACTTAAATAGGCAAATTCTGTTTGATCATGAAGACGTTGGAAAGGCAAAAGTATTTGTAGCTAGAGACAAGCTTTTAAAAAATCATCTCATTAATAAAAACATGGTTATTGAAGCCTATAATTTCTGTGCACTTAAGGAATGGCAGAAAATAGTTGAACTCAGCAAACAGTCCACTGTAGTGTTTAATATGATAGATGTTGGTGATTATTTTGATGCAGCAGTGCAAGCATTATGCATGAAGAGAAACTTGCCACTTATACTTGGAGGCACGTTTAGTCAATAAATTACAGTTGATATTTTCATGCCCAAGGAGTCTTGTCTCTCTTGCTCAGCAGATAGCTACAGTCCCGAGATGCTTTAAAAGATAGTTCCAAGTTTGATAGAAGACCTGCCAGATTTGGAATTCATCCCTAGAAATAACAATCCGATTGGGTAAAGCAATTGTTATTTATGCGTAATATGTGCATAAATGATGGTGGCAAGATTTTCTACCTTACTAATTAATGACCCTGAGATTGTTATTCAAAGCAGATTAATAATGACAGTGAATAGTGCTGAGGCTTTCTAGTATCCTATTGCAAGAGATGATAAATGCTTGCTTTGTGATGATTACGAAAAGCTTACTGACCCAGAAGGCTATGTTCTGAGAAAAAACCAAAAATTACAAGAATAGCTAGAGAAAAAGGAATTAGAATAGTAAAATCTGGCCAGTGAGGTAAAAAGTGAAGAACAAGAATAGATAAAAAGTGAAGAACAAGAATTAAAAGAAAATAACCAAGAATAGTCAAATGAATGAATTTAACTATTTATTTGTCCGATTAGTGATTAAGAAATTAGTTCTCAAATATTGAATCTAAACATTAAAGATTAAATTAGATATTGATGATTTTTCATTAATCAATTTCTCATTTTGAAACAATGTAAAAAGTAAATTTGTAATCATGTAGTGTGAGCATGATAGTTTCATAAAACTTAAGGTTGCTGTAATACTTTCTTATCATTAGCGATCTGTTTCTAAGCTTTTTTGTACATATAATAGAGGAATAGACCCTAGAAGAACTTTTTAACCAGGAAGTATGCTAGGAAAAATTGCCAGCTCATCACAAAAAGGAACATTTTTGTATTTCTATGGGCAATGAGGATCTTATCGATGCTTTGATATATCTCCTTGTTTTAAACTTGGTTGTCTTCTTTTGACTCTTCAATTAGTTATTATGCGATTTTCTCCTTTTTCCTCTCAGTAAATTCATTCTTATGGAATTTAGTCTCATCATCATAGATTTTAATAGAAATTTTGTCAATATTTTGGAAAACATTATCGTTTAGCTAACTCATAAGGAATTTCCTTGTTGCTTGATCTTGCTAAATATAAAATTTATTGTCTTTTATCTCAAAGACATCTTTGAAGGTGTCTTGCCAGATTGGATGATACATTCTTTAGAATCTGTCATAATTTTCTTGAACTACTTCTTCTTCTTCTTCTTTGTCTAGAATTGTAAGATACTTGCTGTGGTAATGAGGAATATTAACAATTTTTTCATAAAGTTTAGACTCTGAATCTCCATCCAGAGTATTTAAGGCAGCCACTGCAAGCTAATTGGGATATTTACAAAAATCTTTTAATTACAGCACTTCTCAAGTTTTTAGATTGATGTTACCAAACTTAATCGCATTATACAACTGTCTTTATTGGTCTTTGCATCATCGTACTAACAAGCATTGTCTCCCAGAACTCAAGATCTCTAATTAAGTCATCATACTGAATCACACCATATCTCATGTCCTTTTAAGAAATAATCAAGTTATTCTAAACTTACTATCATATTCTCTTTACTTTCCTTCTAGTCCTAAACATCTGGATCTTAAATCTTCATATAGTTAAAGTGAACTTTAGCTCCTTTGTTTTAGAAGTAGTAAAGAACCTTGTTTTTTGTAGCTCTATTCATCATTGTGTAATGAGACTTATTGATGGCCAGATTCTCTTGATGGAACTATTTCAAGTCATCTACTGCCATTATGATATCTAACTTAGGAGTAGTCTTTGTAATTAATGAACCAAGATATGATTACATTTTTTATCGTTCTTTATTTGTATCTATTGATGTGATTCCCATAGAAAGCAAATCTAGTGCTTGGGAAAAGCTGGGTCAATACTTTAGTTTGATTTAAGGCCATTAATTTAATTATATTAGCAGCTATTAAGGAATTGAATTTTAACTCAAACAGATAATTATTTTAAAACCTTAGACTACTTATACTCTCGAATATTAAGCAACTTAAATTTAAACTTCGAAGACTTAATGCTAAATTAAGACTATTATGCAAACTTCTAACTAATCTAGTGAAATTGGTTCATTGATCATTTTTGTTGTAGAAGAGAAACAAATTGATCCATGATTGCTTTCCTCAGCTCTTTTGGGGCTTCTTATCTGATTTGCTTATCAAATCTTGCTTTGTTTTAACCTTTGTCTTCCTTAACTGATGTTCTAACTTCCCAATCTTCGCCATCATCAGCAATATCATTTGATACCTCTGGCAATTCATATTGACCCTTAAGATTTGCAACTTCATTACCTTCACCATCTTTAGCTGATAGCTCCCACTTTAGGACTGCATTATAGTCATATGAAACGATTTTTTTTCCTTTTCTAATACTTACACTAGCCTCTCCTTTGATTTTTTCGACAGATGTAATTTTAATAACACCACCTGAAAAATTATACGCAAATCCTCCAATGACTTCCTTGATTCTTTCATCAGCCCATTTACCGACTGATTTTTCCTCCCAGAAGTATGAGCCAGTGTTCCATACACTACCCTGTCCCTCTACCTTTTATACTTTTTGAGGCTATTCTGACTTTTATTGCTCAATAAGAATCCTAGCTTATTCCTTCATTTCAGCTTCCTTTTTCTTTTGTTCTTCAAACAACTGTTATTTCACATCACCTTTATCCTGTTCAGCTTATTGATAATTCTTAAGAGCTTGCTCTCTTTCTATCTAATCTTTCCTAATTTTTTCCTCACTTGCATCAATTTTCTTAAGCTCAGCTTTTAATTCATTAACTACTCTTAGAATTTCTGGTTTCACAAGTTTGCTGAGTGAATTTTTAACTTGATAGACAAACTCTTCCTTCTTTTCTGCGACAATGTCCATATCGATATCATCATCATCCTAGTTGAATTCATCAACAGTTACTCTACCCATCGCTTTAGTCTCTGGATCAGTCAAATGCACAGCATCAAAGTAGATGTCTAACTTGTAATCGAAAAGAAAGATTTGCTTCTATTTTCTTATAGTGATGGAAGCACTACCTTCAATACTTTTAACTTCGTATAGTCTTATCTTTGCAGGAGGGTTTTCTGTACTTACCACTTCAATTTTGATAAGATTTTATTCTAGATACTTTTTAGCTAGCTCAGAGTAATTGCGCTCTTCCCAATGCCATGAGTTCTTGTTCCAAATAGAACCAACTCCAACATCTTATTGAGCACTTGCTTATATTTATGCTGTAGTTTCTACCATTCTAGAAAATTCTCGTAAATTAATTAAATTATTAAAACTATAATGAAATCGAGTCAAGTTTATAATTTAAATGAGTGATTATAAAATTAAATAATCTGAATAAAATGGGTAATCCCCCAAAGAGAATAGTTTACAGTAAGCTTATTAGAAGATTCTTCAAAAAGAGAAGTAATATTTACTCTGAAGAGGCTATGAAATTAAAACTCGAAGTCAGCAAGTGCTGGGAGCAATACGGAGTCGATCACCCAAAATGTGCGCATTTACTTCCAAAGCTTGACAGAGGGTGGGCCATCGATCTTGTTACTAAATAGAAATATGAGGAATAGGTGTCCTAGTTCCCAGCTCATTTTGATGCTTTGATTGCACCAAAGCCCGACAAAATGTACTTCAAAGGAGTCGAACCCACTGGTCCCTATATGATGAATAGACCCTTCAAGATTCCAAAATACTGAAAAATATTACCAATATTTAATTATTTCACATCACTCATATTTCTCACAATAACTGTATCAGGGGGTTTTGGGGTTTTGGGGTTTTGGGGTTTTGGGGGTT